AGGCATGAGGATTCTGAATTCAAGGCCTGGCTGAGTTACACAGTGAGACCCTGCCTCAAATTAATAAATAAAATAAACCAAACTGGAGAACAGCTTTGTCTAGGGGAACTGAAAGACAGGGGGTGAGACACTGAAGACGTGGTAATGAGATCCGGGAATTCCCACAGGTTTCTATCAGCTCTGTCTAAAAAACGAGCAGAATCGCTTCAGTTCTATTCAAGTGTATCTCAACTTCGGAGTCTTCTATGAGGGGCCTGAGATGGACCACCAACAGAATCAAAGAAGGCAGCTGAACGATACTCTGGATGCGATTGAGGTAACGGGATTACCATTCTTGGGGGGTACAGCCTGGATGAGAGAGGACTCATGATAGAAACAAATTGGCACGAGTTCATCATCATGCAGCATGGAGTTCTTTTTGGTGCCTGGGCCTGGGCAAACAATGGCTAACAGGTCTGGCTAGCCCACTGCCTGTTTGTACTATGCAATCACAAAATTGCAGCTGCCCCTACTACATAAAGCAGAACAATCTCGTGTGCCCAAAGGAAGCTCTATACACTCCAGACTGCCCCCAGTCCCTCCAGAAGCTAATCCTAGAGTCACTGTTGCACCGTTCTTATAGCTTTTCTGCGTGAATTGTGTAAACAGAATCATATATGTGGATTTATATGGTAGCTGCTTTCATGCACCATGGCTTTTGTTTGAGACAAGGTCTTACTATGAAACCTTGGCTGGCCTGAACTCATTATATAGACCAGACTGGCCTTGAACTCACAGAGATCTACTTGTTGCTTTAGTGCTGAGATTAAAGACATGTGCCACCATACCCAGCTTGATTTCGTTTTCCCTAGATGGTTTCTCTGTGTAGCCCTGGCCATACTGGAACTTGCTTTATAGAACCAGGCTAGCCTCAAACTCACAGAAAGCTACCTGCCTCTGCCTGAGAAGTAGAGATTCTGGGATTAAAGGTGTGTGCTTTAGTTTTTTAAAAAGAGGGTCTTACCCTCTGTGGCCCAGACTGGCCTTGAATTTGCAGCAATCCTCCTGCTTCAGCTTGAGTGCCGAGATTATAGACCCAAGCCATCACACCTTAGTTTACACAGTATGCGCTGAACGTCCTACTGTAGGATCGCAGTTTTGTGTATCCACTCACCAGCTGGCTGCACTTGAGTGTCTATTTTTTGGCTATCAGTTCTGCCGGCAATACTTGTGAACAAGCTCTTGTGTTTTCTTTTCATGTACCTACAAGTGGAACTTCTGGGCATGATTTAAACTGCTTAGCTTTGTGATGACCTACCTGGCAGTTTTCCACAGGAGATAGTCTTGGTAGCTATAAAGACTCTGATTTCTAGCCATCCTAAAGTACTGTGTGGTGATAGCTGTCCTGGAGGATGTGAAATGGCATCTCCTGCTTTAGCATCCTTACTACTGGAAAGGCCAATAACTTGCTATAAAAAAATAAAATTTGTAATAAAAGCATAAAAATTAAGGGCTCGTTCAGTGGTTAAGAGCACTCTCCTCTCCTAAGAGAACCCAGGTTCAATTCCAAGCACCCATATCAGGCAGCTCACAAACGCCTGTAACTCCAGTTCCTGCGTGCACATAGCACGAATACATTTATGCTTATGTGTCTCCTGGGGGGCGGCATACATTTGATCTCAGCACTCAAGGAGAGGCAGGTGGATCTCTGAGTTCAAGGCCAGCTTAGTCTACAGAGTTTCAGGACAGCCAGGAATACATGCAGAGAAACCCTGTCTCGAAACCAAAAACAAAATATCTCTTTCTTCTCTGCCTGCCTTTTTCTTTTTACTTTCTTACTTTTATTTATGACAAATATTCCTGATCTCTTCTGAGCAAATATTCTTTGAGACAGTTACCCAACAGAATCATTTGGCTCACCCACATCTCAGGGGAGAACTCCCCAGCAGTGACTTATACCTCAACAATGGAGTGGATCAGGAATCCAAAGTCACCCTTGGTTACATGCTGAGTTTGAGGCCAGTCTGGGCTGCATGAAAAGTAGCTCAGAAAGAGTGTTTACCTCAGGGCTGGAGAGATGGCAGAGCGGTTAAGAGCACTGTCTGTTGTTCTTCCAGAGGTCCTGAATTCAATTCCCAGTAAACACATAATGGCTTATAACCATCGGTACTGGGATCTGGTGCCCCCTTCTGGCACGCAGGTATACATGCAGGCAGAACATTGTATATATAATAAATACATCTTTTTTTTTTTTTTTTTTAAGTGTTTACCTCAAATGTGCAAGGCTATTGCAGGGATGTAGGGAGTTTTGTGGAAACTAGGCAATCCTTATTACTGAGGTACAACACAAGCCCCCCCCATACTTTCCGACTTTCAAACTACTCCAGCAATTTTTTTCAAATACACCAGAGTACCATGTATTACCAACTGACTTAGCTCACTGCAGGTGAGACCCAAACGGCAGCCAGAGCAGCTCTCCTTCTTCCCACAGGACAGCACATGGAAGGTGCAAAACAACGTTTTTCACATGTGGCGCTTCTACAACTTTGCCAGGATGAGGAAAGTGGCTGACTTTTTCCTGCTCCAGTCCAACTACACCTATGTGAACTGGTGGTCTGCTGCGCAGAGCCTCGCCATTGTCCTTTCTGGGCTCCTCCAGCTCTATTTCTTGAAACGCCTTTTCACTGTCTCAACCACTGATGCAAAGAAGCCAAGATGCTAATACATAGCATCCTCGTCAGAGGGTTGATCAAAGTAGCTTTATAAAATTGTTGGGGAAAAAGTCAACCTAAATCTTTTTTTCTTTTCCGTTCATCAATAAAGGCAAATGGCAGTAATAAAAAGTGAGTTCCGGTGCTAATTACTCTAAAAGATGTATTATGTGCTTAGACTAAAATACCACTTTTTGTTTTGAGACAGGGTTTCAATATATAGCCTTGGCTGGCCTAGAATTTGCTGTGTAGACCCAGCTGGCCTCAAATTCAGAGATTCACTTGCCTCTGCCTCCTCACTGCTGGCAAGGCACGCACCACCATCCCTAGCCTAAAATAACGTTCTTACAGGTGACCCTTAACCTTCACTGATTCCACTTAGAAGTTAAAGAACCCTGGAAGGGGTTCTGAAGACGGTCCACTTGACAGAGTACCTGCTTCGCATGCAGCTTTGGCTTTGACCCCTACCACCACAAAAATGTAGAGCGGTGGCACACAGCACCCCAGAGGTGGAAGCATTAAAAGCGGCCTCTGCCAGTTCAAGACCACATCTGAAAATAAATCAGAAAGCTCTGAACAAAGCAGTGAAAACAATGGGACAGTCAATTTTTGATGGTGTCTTTTTAACCCATTGTTTAGGACTGTGAAGGCCAGCCTTCCCTCCTTGTCCAGGGATTGAACTCAACATCAGGTGCGGACACATGCCCTTCCAGTCCACCAGCCTACCCACTGAGCCATCTTGCTTGCCCCATAGTGCTCTTCAATGGATGAAAGTATTTTAAAGGACATTCCCTTTGGAAATGTGGTGTGGTCAGGCTGGAGAGATGGCTCAGAGGTTAAGAGCACTGACTGTTCTTCCAAAGGTCCCTAGTTCAATTCCCAGCAACCACATGGTGGCTCATAACCATCTGCAATGAGATATGCTGCCCTCTTCTGGCATGCGGGCAGAAAAACTGTATAAATAATAAAAAACTTAAAAATGTGGTGTGGTGACACAGACCTGTAACACCCTCACTTGAGAGGCTTGAGAGGCTAGGAGACAGCCTGAGCTACATAGCGTTTCAGACCAATGTGAGACCCTGTCTCAAAGATAAAAGCTGGTAAAAACAGATTGTTTTGAAGCTGGTTGTGGTACACACACCTTTGATCCCAGCACTAAGGAAGCAGAGGGCAGCCTGGTCTACAGAGTTCTAGGACAGTTAGGGTTACACACACACAAAAATAAATAAATTAAAATATATATATATATATATATATATTTGAGGCAGGTGTTGTGGTGTACCCATTTAATCTCAGCACTTCAGAGGCAGATGGAGCTCTTTGAGTTCAACCCATCTACAAAGCTAAGCCTGTTGTTTGTTCCAATTAAAAACAATAATGTAACAAAAATATTTCAACAAAGGCAAGGAAAATGGCTCAGCAGTTAAGAGCACTCTCTTTAAGAGCTTGGTTCCTAAGGCAGCCAACTGCCTTTAACCCCAGCTCCAGGGAATCCAACTCTCTCTTCTGAGGACACTGGCATCCAAGTGGAACGCACATGCACAGTCTTTTGTCTTGAGACAGGATAGCTCTACAGAGCCCTTGCCATCCTGGAGCTCTGTAGACTACTGGCTTTGAACTCACGGAGGTCCACCTGCCTGTCTCCTGAGTGCTGGGATTAAAGGTGTGCCCTTCAACTGTACGCCCAGCAGTCATACAATTTTTAAAAATGGGGGCTGGAGAGACAGCTCAACGGCTTAAGGGCACAGGCTGCTTTTGCAGAAGAGCTGGTTTGGTTCCAAGCACCTACACAGCAGCTCACATACATCTGTAACGCCAGCTCCAGAGAAATCAAGACCCTCTTGATTTCCATGTCATGGTGCACACACATACATGCGGACAAAACACACACACACAAAATAAATGTAAAAAATGTTAAAAATATATATTTCACTATTTATTCCACATCTGTTTGCCAGATCCTATGCTGGATGCTTTACAATTTTTATTTTTAATTCTGAATACTACTGTTACATTGATGATGTCTTTCAGTTTTGTGGGTTTTGGGTTTGATTTTTAGGCTGCCCACAATCTCCTTATGTACACCTCAAACACACAGACAGCTCCATCTGCCTCCCCAGTGCTGGAATTAAAGACGTGCACCATTATACTCGGCAGTTTTATGGTTATTTTTCTTTTGACAATTGAAGAAAATGAAGTTTGTCTAAATGGAGGAACGTGTCCAACATCACACAGCTGGCACATGGCAAAACTGAGGCTTGAATATGGACTCTTCCACACCAGACACCACTTGTCACAAAGAAAAAGAGGTGAGTTGCACGTATTATTTTATTAAACTCCACCTGTAAAACCACAGGCACAATCTACTATCCTTATATGGCGAGTTCTATCTTTAATGATATTAATAAATGATAGAAAGTCCACTGTGCTATTAGGAGCCTAGAAAACAGTGTTATCACAGATAACAATTTAATTACTGTCCTCAGTGCAGTAACTCAGAACCTGTTTCTCAGAATAAGTCTTCTGATTCAAAGAAGATGTAGGTACAGAATAAAAACTCTATTTACTCACACAAACTTTTGGCAGGTGTTGGTTTGTGTTTTAGATTTTTGAGACAGGGCCTCACTATGTAGCAGAGGCTAGCCTTGAAATGCCAAGTAGTCTAGAGTAGGCCTTACACTTGTGGCCCACCTGCTTTTGCTTCTAGAGGGCTTGAAACCCTATTTTTGAGCCATTTCTGTTGAGTAAGAATCCAAGTGGCGTATCTCAGGGTTATCCGAACTTAACATGATGATGTCTGCACACACAGGAAACAAAGCTAAGTCCCCTCACACAGCAAAATGTTCCTGGGATAACCATCCTAAGTCAGTGTCTCTTCATGCCGTACATATTCCCCGATGTCTGCTTGATGAAACACCACAATTGCCATGGGGTCCACTTTTCTGCAGTCTTGGGTAGACTTCGCTGCCACCCCAAAGCCCTGGAATTGAAAGAACAGACACTAATTCATTCACTTACAAAAACCAGGACAAACACTATGTTAAAACAGCTGTCTGAGAAAATTCAAAAGGTGCTGAGAAGTTAGTCTCACAGGCCGAAGCTACATCCTTTTCAGTAGGCACCTGGTATGCGCAATGGCTACCCGTTCTACTCACCAGAGGAATGTCTGCCATGGAATAAACCACGACTCCCTGGTACTGAGAAGTGTTTTCAGTGATTCGCCCCAGACCGGATTTCAACACATGGTTTCCATACAAGAAGGACTGCTCTGCTCCAGGCTTTATCCATACTTTATACTGGTAGACAGTTGAAAACCAAGAGACAAAAATGCTAGTTATATTCCTGTTGGCAGATCAGAGGCCGCTTCTGTGTTTAAGGAGTGGCGGGGAGACAGACATGTCCCTTTAAATTGTTTGGACTCTGATCCTTTGCCATGGAGTTCCTTCCTCATGCCACCTCTCAACAGTATAAACAACTTACAGCTTTTTTTTCTTTTCTTTTTTTTTTGTACCCCAGGATCATCCCTAAACAGCCACCTGTATCTACTTTCTGATAGCCACCTGACACTGTGGGGACCTCTCTGTTTCCTACAGCTATCTAGTCTCTGCAGCCCAGGGCACTCACAGGACCCTCCCTCCCTAAGCATGTTCAAGTCCCAATACCTATAAACATCTCCTTGTGCAGACACTGTAAGAAACTATGACAGAGAGGCTGGAGAGATGGCTCAGAGGTTAAGAGCACTATCTGCTCTTCCAGAGGTCCTGAGTTCAAGTCCCAGCAACCACATGGTGGCTCACAACGTCTTATATGATCGGATGCCCTCTTCTGGAATTCAGGTATTCCCGTGGATAGAGCACTCATATACATAAAGGAAAAAAGTCAGAGAAGGAAGGAAAGACGGAGGGAGGGAGGGAAAATCAGACTCGATTGAAAACAATCTGTGTTCTGACTTGGCTGTCATCCCCGACTTCACCCCCGATGGCAAAATGGAGACCAGCCCCACATACCTTGGCATACGGGGCGAGGTAGTCGAGCGCTGTAACGTGCAGCCGAAACTTGTGGGTCTTGGTAAACTTTCCAAAACACGTCCCCAGGGACACCAGCTTATCCCCGGAGATGTTGGCGGCCAGCTTCAGGATCATCTCACTACAGGGGCGAGGGAGGAAGTTGCTGCGGACGGCCACTCACTGGACGCAGGCCTCCGGCCCCGTACACGGGGAGCACCGAGCCCCAGCTCACCTCACATAGTACACTCGGTCGTTGTGTAGCCGGAAACAGTAGGTGCCGTCGGGCCTGTCCACGAGGAGCTGTAGGTTCTCCCCGATGCTGAGGGCAGAAAGGAGACTGGAAGCTGCGCCGGAACCGTCCCGCCCCAGTGTCCCCGTCCCGCGTCCCCGCACGCCCGTCCCTCATCTGCTTCTCAGGTTCTTACTATTTCGCAATCTTCTCAAACATTACCCGAGTCTCTTCTTCAGTCAACGGCCGCATCTTCCCGCTAGCCTGGCTCCCGGGATCCTCGTGCCTGGAGAGTCGGAAGCGGAAGTCACCCTGCCGGCCCCTCGCGCCGCCGCTTCCTGGCAACATCAAAGCGTGCCTCTCTAGCCCAGGTCTACGTGTTGTTTGTGCTGGCGCCACCTGCCTTGGAGGACCGCTGGGGCCCAGAAAGCTGGCCAGGTGAGAAACCATAGAGACAGAAAAATGTTCCCCAACGGTTTCCGGTTCCGGGCGCGAAACCGGCGCCCTCGCGGGTCTAGAGCGGAAGTGACGGCGCCGTGGGAAAATGGCGGCTGCTGTCTCTCTCCAGTCCTCCGCTGCCGCCTCGGCCGCGACGACGGCCACGGCCGCTGCGCTGGGGGAGGTGGAAGATGAAGGACTCCTGGCGTCGCTGTTCCGCGACCGCTTCCCTGAGGCCCAGTGGCGGGAGAAACCCGACGTGGGCCGCTACCTCCGGGAGCTGAGCGGCTCGGGGCTGGACCGGCTGCGACGGGAGCCGGAGCGTTTGGCGGAGGAGCGGGCCCAGCTGCTGCAGCAGACGCGCGATCTGGCCTTCGCCAATTACAAGACGTTCATTCGCGGTGCCGAGTGCACCGAGCGCATACACCGTCTCTTTGGCGACGTGGAGGCGTCCCTCGGTCACCTGCTCGACCGTTTGCCCAGCTTTCAGCAGAGCTGCAGGTGCGGCTGGCCCGCTGCTGAGAGGCCCATACCTGTAACTGACAGGATGCTAGACATAGCTGACCCACAGGTAGAGCGCAGAGCTCTCTCCCGATCTCCTTATCACTTACATTTCACAGCAGCCATCTAGGTAGCTATCATTACTGTCTTAAGCTGAGGAAGTCGAAGTGACTTGTCCAAGAACACGGATAGTAAGTGTTTCCAGATCAGGATTGGAAGCCAGGAGCCCACCACTCCCTCATAGGCTGTTGTAATAGTAAAAATACAGCCAGTCTTGTTGGCATATGCTTGTGATCCCAGCATTTGAATCGCAAGGTCATCATCCTAGGAGTATTGAGTTCAAGGCCAGCCTGAGCTACATAAGACATTGTATCAAAACAAAATAAAAACCTATGTAAGGCGGTTCATTGGGCCGACATAGCTAACACTGTATAAATGGCAGCTTAATATATATGTGCCTTTATAATGGTGTATGTACAACAGCTTGGGCTGGAGGCCCAAAACTTCCATTGATAGGAAGCTGAGGAAAAATCCTATTTGGGGATTATATAGGTTGTCAAAAAGCATTTCCTTTTTGAGCTATATTGACTTTCTAGGTCTTCAATCTAATACTCTTAGTTCAGTTCAGTTTTTCTTTAGAGACTTGGATATTTAAAACAGGTTAGATAGTCGAGCACGCTGGTGCACACCTATAATCCCAGCACTCAGCGAGGCAGAAGCAGGCTGATCTCTGAGTTGGAGGCCAGACTGGTCTACAAAGCAAGTCCAGGACATCCAAGGCTACACAGAGAAACCCTGTCTCGAAAAACCAAACCAAACTAAAAATAACAACAAAAAACAAAACAACAACAACAAAAGAACAAAACAGGTTTTGTATCCTTTGTGCCGAAAAGAGATTCACAACTTAGTAAACCCAGTTTCTGGAATTACTGTAGAGAAGGAGAGAAACAAGGAGGAAGAAGGAAGATTAAACAGCTGCATATAACATTAAGACCTGAGGGATCTTAAGGCAAGAGTGTAGTTTGTTGGCTAGTTGGTGCTCTATTAGATATTAATAGCTATTAAAAATGTTTATGGGTGTTTTGTCTGGTGTATATCTATGCACCATCCTGAGGCCAGAAGAGGGATTCAGGTCCCCAGGGACTGGAGTTACAGGTGGCTATGAGCCCCTAGATATGTGTGTTGGGATCTGAACTTAGATCCCTTGCAAGAGCAGTGACCGCTGAGCCACCTCTCTACTCTCAGTAATAACTAGTAAGGGGTTTGTTTACTCTTCTTATACATTTACTCATTGTCAGGTCCTGTGTACTTCATGCATGTCATCTTACCTGTCTCTAACTTTCACAGCTTTGTCAAGTAGGTCCTCTTACCAGTTAACCAATGAAGAGACAGGTCCAGAGAGGCCAAGTCACTTAGTCCTTCTTTATGAGTCCTAGAGCCGTTCAGTCTCAAATGTGACGGTCCAGATCTGCAAGCCATTTTTAGAATGGCATGGCAGATGGGGTGACACTCTGCATGTGGAAGTCAGAGGACAACTTGTAGGAGTGGGTTCTCTCCTTCCATTATGAGGGACTTAGGGATCAGTCTCAGGTCAGCAGGCTTGTTGGCAAGCAGTAGGCACCTTTACCCCTGAGCCATCCTGACCGTTCCGATGCAAGCCTTTGATTAATGATGTAGTCTTAGAAAGTTTCTTAAATGTTAAATGAAAAGTTTCCTCAACTGATATAAGGAGTTGTAGGTTGGAAGAGATGGTTTTGTTTGAGACAGAGCCACCCTGTGTATCCCTGGCTGGTCTTGAACTCACTGTGTAGAACTAGATAGCCATGAGCTCATATCTGCTTCTACCTCTGGAGAGCTGGGATCAAGGGTGTACACCACACCCTGTGTGAAGGTTTGAAATAAACCAGACGAACCATCCAGCCCGGTGTCCAGTAAGTGCTCAACCTACTGTGCAGAACAATGAGGAAATACATTTTCCTGATTGCCTCTAGGAACTTCGTGAAGGAAGCTGAGGAGATCAGCTCCAACCGCCGGATGAACACCCTGACTCTAAACCGGCACACAGAAATCCTGGAGATTTTAGAGATTCCCCAGCTTATGGACACCTGTGTTCGAAACAGCTATTATGAAGAGGCCCTGGAGCTTGCAGCCTATGTACGGCGACTGGAAAGGAAATACTCTTCCATCCCTGTTATCCAGGTAGACAACTTGCCGAGAGGGCCCTCAAGTTTATGATCTTGTAGTTATTAATTCTGTGATTGTGACTGAACTTTTAAGTAGAAACTTTTGCATATTTCATGTCAATTTCTGCCAGCCAGGTAAGCTAAACAGAAGCTATTCAAAGATCTTATTACTCCTGTGCCTGACGCTGTCTTAGGTCCTAGGAATACTGTGTAAACAGAGCATTCAAGGCGATGGCTCTTGGAAGTTTCTTTTTCTTTTAAAGATTTATTTTGTATACGGTGTTCTGACTGCACGCCACAAGAGGGCACCAGATCTCATTATAGATGGTTATGTGGTTGCAAGGAATTGAACTCAGGACCTCTGGAAGAGCAGCCAGTGCTCTTAATCTCTGAGCCATCTCTCCAGCGCTCTCTCTCTCTCTCTCTTTTAAGGTTTACTTATTATTTATACAATATTCTGCCTGCATGTGAGCCTGCATGCCAGAGGAGGGCACCAGATTTCATTTAGATGGTTGCAAGCTACCATGTTGTTCCTGGGAATTGAACTCAGCACCTTTGGAAGAACAGTGCTCTTAATCTCTGAGACATTTCTCCAGCTCCATGAATTTTTTATTGTAGTCAGTGTCTGATAATTGACAAATAATAATATTGCAGATATTGGCAAATATCTGAAGAAATAAGCCAGAGAAAACCAGGCAGGCATGGTGGGGTATGTCTGTAAACCTACCACTTGAAAGATAGAGACAGGAGGGTTAATCAGGAGTTCAAGGCCATCATTAGCTACTTAGTGATTTTGAGGCCAGCTTGCTATATTTCTGTCTCAAAGAAAAAAGAGGGGGACCCTAGGGTAGAGGGCTGTCGAAGTTTACTAGAGTTCTGCTTTGCCAGCCTTGTCAGGAAAAGCCTTTCCTGACAAGACCTTGATGAGAAGGAACCAGGACTTGAAGTTCTGGGGAGACAGCAAAGCAAAAAGTAGGAAAAGGGTAAGGGGGGAAGAAACTGTTTCAGGGATCCCAGAGCAGCCACTGTTACTGGATTGTAATGAGAAAGGCTGTGCTCAGGTGAAACAGATAAAGCTGTAGAATCAGGCAGGGCCTGGAGATCATGATGAGTAGTTGGTAGTTTGGTGATGGCGATGAAAATCCTAGGAGGACTTTTGAGCAAGAGAACTAGTTATGCAAGTGGATCTCTGTAAACCTGCAGGTGTCAGCTTCAGAAATCCACTTTATACATCAGGAGAGTTGTAAGAATGGCTTAGTAGGATGAGTTTTCAAGTATTTATCTCAAAGTGTTATGACTGTCATGTTGTCAGGGCATTGTGAATGAAGTGCGCCAGTCCATGCAGCTGATGCTAAGCCAGCTGATCCAGCAACTGAGGACCAACATCCAGCTCCCGGCCTGCCTGCGTGTCATTGGCTATCTGCGGCGCATGGATGTCTTCACTGAGGCTGAGCTGAGGGTGAAGTTTCTTCAGGCCCGGGATGCTTGGCTTCGCTCTATCCTGACTGCCATCCCTAATGATGATCCTTACTTCCATATCACAAAAACCATCGAGGCCTGCCGGGTACACCTCTTTGATATCATCACCCAGTACCGAGCCATCTTCTCAGATGAGGACCCCTTGCTGCCACCTGCCATGGGCGAGTACACTGTGAATGAGGGTGCCATCTTCCATGGCTGGGTGCTGCAGAAAATCTCACAGTTCCTGCAGGTGCTAGAGACCGACCTTTACCGGGGTATAGGTGGCCGCTTGGACTCTCTGCTGGGCCAGTGCATGTACTTTGGGTTGTCCTTTAGCCGCGTGGGGGCTGATTTCCGGGGCCAGTTGGCTCCTGTTTTCCAGAGGGTGGCAATCAACACTTTCCAGAAAGCAGTTGAGGAAGCAGTGGAGAAATTCCAGGATGAGATGACTTCCTACACCCTCATCTCAGCTGCGGCCATCCTGGGCAGCAGCAACATGCCTGCTGCAGTCCCAGCCACTCAGCCAGGGACGCTGCAGCCACCAGTGGTGCTCTTAGACTTCCCTCCCCTTGCCTGCTTCCTCAATAACATTCTGGTTGCTTTCAATGACCTACGGCTCTGCTGCCCAGTGGCCCTAGCGCAGGATGTGACTGCAGCCTTGGAGGATGCGCTTGCCAAGGTGAGTAACATTCTGCTACTGTGGACTGCCCTTGGTAT